ATTCATAACATTCAACTTTTTAAAAAGGAAAGAAGGTTAACAGGTATGTCAGTAGGTCACCTTCTACAACTATTCCAGAAACGTCTCTCCTCATTCTTGGGTTTGGTTTGTTTGTTTGTTTGTAAGAAAGATATATACTTATATTTAATTTATCTAATTTTTGTTTATATATTGCAATACACTCTCATTAGTTTAATGACACATTCAATGATGGAACTATTACAAGCTATGTAAAAATGGTCTGAGAATGTTTTATCCCTAAAGCATTGCTTCACAGGCATTATAAAGAAGAAAATCTAGAGATCTGAATACACATTTGAAAGGTATCAGAATTAATATTACTTTTGCATTGTTACTTGGAATTGCTTACATAATTTGATTCATAACTTTTTTTTAATGTTTTATTATGAATTATGTGAGAGTTTACATGGGAGAACATTAGCTTTACATTCACCCTATCATATATTGTTTCATTGCCATGGTTACAATCCCCTCCATGCATCATCAACCAACCAAAGGGTATACCCTGCAAGCCTGTCCCCTATCCCCCCATCTTCAGCACACAGGCCCTCTCCCTCTCTGGGACTAGAGTCCCCAGCCGCTCCATTCCTCGTTGGTTTTTGTTTGTTTGGGGTTGGGGAGCTGGGGTCAAGGTTCTGGCATTTGGATTTGCCCTCTTTAGTCTCCAAGGGAGATCCAGGAAGCGGAGGGCGGAAAGCAGTCCCCGATGACAACCCAGTTTCTGGATCAGCAGTATGAGGTGAACCCCCTGCAAAGATGCCATGGGGTTCTGTATGAGGGAGGAGGAGAGAGGGTCAGTTCAGCAGCCCAAGGATGATCCCTGTGAGGTGGAGGTCAGCCAGGTCTCCCACCTTCCCACCCACCCTGACCCCGACCATCCCTCCCACCATTCTCTGCTTCCCTTAGAGTCACATAGAACTCACAATCAGCGCGATTGTGGGATTTATGAGGAAAGTAACAGGTGCAAGGGACTCTGGAGGCATTGGGCTGACAATCGCAAAGTTAGTGGTTCAACCCCACCAGCCCCTTTGTGGGAGAAAGATGAGGCAGTCTGCTCCCGTGAAGGTTTACAGCCTCAGAAACCCTGTGAGTCCTAATACACCTGATGCAGTGGGCTGGGTTGTTGTTGTTAAGTACTGTGAAGTCGGTTCCGACTCATAGTGACCCTGCACAGGGTTTCTGAGGCTGTAAATCTTTACGGGAGCAGAAAGCCTCATCTTTCTCCCATGGAACAGCTGGTAGTTTTGAACTGCTGACCTTGGGGTTAGCAGCCTGATTCGTAACCACTATGCTACCAGAGCTCCTCATGGACTGGGTAACCCGTTACAGTTCAGGCATACCGCCCGCTGGCTCTTAGTCTCTCAGCCCCTTGGCCCCTGCCCTGCTCTTTAAAGTGCGGGAGGCACCTCACCCCACCAGTAAGCCTTGGTCTGATGGCATTCGGCTTACCTGCTCCGAGCACAACAGAACAAAGCATTACCCAGTCGTGTGCCAGCCTCACAATTGTTGCTACGCCTGAGCTCACTGTTGCTACCCCTGTACCAGTCCACCTCGGTGGGGGTCTCCCTCTGAAAGAATGAGCCTGACCCCACAATGCTGATGGAGAGGAGAGAGGGCATGGATAGAACCCTAAGAAACCCCAGTGTTTTAGGGGTCACCAAAGATCATGGTGACCCTATAGGATGGGGTAGAGCTACCCCATAGGGCTTCTGGGAGTAAACCTTCACGGAAGCAGACCGTCTCATCTTTCTCCCAGGGAACAGCTAGTGGATTTCAATGGCTGACCAGACACTTAAACCACTGGGGACAAGGATCCCTGGAAGCGAGTCAGGGAGAGTGGCCACCGCTGGGAAGGGAAGAGGGCACTGAGGAAAGAGGGGATGGGGTCAGCAGGTCAAGGGTCTTCAAGTCAGAGGAGTGCTGAGTCATCGTGTCCCTTGGATCCCAGGCTGAGCTGAAGGAGAGTTTTCAACAGTGGGTTTAGGGGGCTGGGGGCGGGAACCCAACTGCACAGCATTGCCCTTTTGTAGGCAAATGGAGAAGGGTCTGTGTTTACAGAAGAATTGGGGAGAGGCTAGACACAGACATACACACGCACACACACACACACACACACACACACGCCCTCGAGGTCCTCAGCCCTTCCCAGGGACCTGCAGACTGATATTCACACTACAGTCCCAATGGTACATACAGAAAACACATGTGAGCTGGGCCTTGACCAGGGCTGCCAAGTTAGGAGAGCGTTCCGCCGCTCCTAAGCATCCGAATCCTGGTCACCTTCTGCCTCTGCCCCATTGTGGGGAAGGGGAGCACCAGGATGGGAAATCTAGTCCTCCACCTACCCCACCTCAGTGTGGAAACCAGACTGGGCATCACGGCACCCGGATATGTCCGAGTGATACTGGGCTTCATAGGGTTTCCAGTGGTTGCTTTTTCAAAACCAGATCACCGACCATTCTTCCAATGTACCTCTGTGTGGGTACATTGTTGGAGCTGACATGTTAACTCTTTGTTAATATTCTCAGAGACTCCTCTCCCACATTACAGATGAGGTCAAGTTCCCTGAGGTTACACCTGCTGGCCTGTCCCCGGGTACCAGGCCACCTCACAGAGTGGGCATCTTTCAACTGACCAGGGACACTTGTTTGCCATTGAATGGGCTCAAATGTCATCAGGAGACCCATGGGCACCATCTCCACCAGGCCTAGGGTCTGCCAAAGAGGACAGGTGAGTCAGGCCAACACTGGACACAGAACCGCAGGCACCATCCCAGGCCAGGTGCCATCCCCAGTCTGGACACTACTGTCCTCTCGGCTCCCAGGTCAACTGCCTTCTGTGTCTCCTGAGAGCCCAGCCACCCTGGAGTGAGGCATTCTTGTTTCTCAGATCCCATTAGAGGGCTCCTGGGTCTTTCTCATAAGGGACTGAGGCTCCATTATTCCCAGGCAGGTTTCTGCTTGGTGGTGGGTGGGCGTCCTCCCTCTCCCACACAGTGGAGCTGAGCTAACGCAGCTGGAGCCATGGGAAAAGGGAAGGCAAGGAGGATGACGTGGCCCCAGTACATCCCCGCAGGAAAGGGGGAGCAGAGAGCAAAGCTGAGCCTCAAAGCTGTGGAACAGGGGGAGAAGGGCCAAGGGATGCTAACTGAGGTTCTGAGAGGGCGGTACCCACCCCCTCCGCCAGCCGACACCTGTCTGGAACCCTGTCCCAGCACTCTTGACATGACTCGCTCTTACTCATTTTTAGTGAGCTTTTTTCCAGGAATGCCCTTCCCACCTCCTCCCCTGGTTCCCGGAGCTTGTCCACCTCAGCCCCTGACCTGGCAGCTGCAGGGACAGGAGTCCTGGGAACAGGAGCCGGCCCTTGTATCTTTCTTGATCTCCCCACCCCTGGCCTCTTCCCCTCCAGGGAAGGTGGACCAGGGTGTTCTAGGCTGGGACAAGTGTAGAGACCAGTTGGGCTGTACAGCTGAGTTTTACTGACTCTCCCCAGGCCTTCTGCAAATGCTGACATCTGTCACGTGAGACTGCTCCCAGGTTGTCAGGAGTGCTTGTCAGCCTCCTGTCCCTGGAATTCAGAATGATGTTGGGAAGCAGCTGAGGGGCAAAGGGACCCTGTTCCACAGTCATGTCAGGATGCAGGCCGGAGGGTTGTTTACACAACTTTCTGCATCATGTTGCCGAAAGGCATTTTGTTCTACTGTAGAAAGCATAACTCTTCTCTTCCTGGAGAGGACACAGATGGTGTCAGGGACCCACTAGGTGTCTGCAGGCTGCTTTCCCTGCTGGGGTCCCACCCTGGCACCTTGGAGCTTACGAGGGTCAAGGCATCCCCTCTCTGGTCTCCCCAGGGCCGTAAAGGCAACACTGCTGTTCCTGCTGGATCCCTAAGGTACCAGAGTCAGGCAGATGGGCAGACTGCAGTCCAGCCTGCTCACAGTCCTGGATGTGGTCACAGGTGAGGGTCCCACCTGCTGGCCCTGACTCCCCGCACCCCGCACCCCCCTAGGCCCTTCTCCCCTTTTATTTTATAATACTTTATTGTGTTTCTGCTATAAGGGCCCTATTTCTGTCAGCAGTACAGGGGTCTGTTTAATTAACTTTACCCTGTTGGGAACAGTCCTAGGGGTCCCATAAAGAAGCCCCACATGCTTTCATTTTGTCTCATGTAAAAAGCCAAGAGGACCCAACAGAGATAAGAAGAAACGCAGGCAGGAGGCCCCTCCATCCAGTTAAGTGTGGAAGTCCATCCGCGTGAACACCTGGCTCCCCAAGGACGATGTGCAGAGCTCAGGCTGTGAGCACCCCTGGAGCCACCCCTCCCATCCCCAGTGCCTCTCCCTTCCAGCTGGAGCCCCTGCAGGTTGGCGTTGGCTGGTGACTTGAACTCTGAGCTCCGGCTTCTTCCATGCACAGCTCAACCGAGACTCTGCCCAGCTCTGCAGCATCTGAGCCTGTCTAGGACTTCTTGGATTCTTCAGACATCTGGATCCAAATTTTTTAACATCTCCATCTACACTGCTTAAGAAAAAGGCTTTTTCTCCCCTTCTTTGCTGGGAATCACAGCCAGTGGGTCCTGAGGACACAGGGCAAGAGTGGACAGTCATACCCTTCTCCATCAGTCCTGTCCATTTCCCCCATCCAGGGACAGGAGGTGCCGCCAGAGGGGGTGCTCCGGGGCCCTGGGCTTCAGAGAAGCAACCTTGGACTGTGAGCTGAATGGGCAGCGGTTTAAGCCCACGAGCCGCTCTGAGGGAGACAGACGTGGCAAGTCTGCTCTCCTAAAGGTTACACTTGCTGCCTTGTTAACTTTGCACTTAGTGGGCTGGTGTTCATCTTACAGCCTTGGAAACCCTATGGGGCAGTTTTCCTCTGTCTTGTAGAGTCACTGACTCAGAATTGACTTGGTGGCAGTGAATTTTTTGTTTTGTTTTGTTTTGAGGGATTGCTCAACCTCAAGTGTTGTGCGATTGGCAGGTTGCAGGGAGCCCTTCAATGGGATTTCGAGAGCAGGGGGTCAAGGCCAAGAGTGCTGGGAAAGAAACGCGTTGGTATGTGGGAAGGATGTTGTTTGTATATTTATTCCATCAGGCCCACCTGGTAGACTATACAAACTCCTGAGCTACTGGAGACATTTTTTCAGGGTTTCCACATGAAATGCTAAGTCTTGGGTTACAAATGGATCTGATGTGAACGGCGAAGAAATCGGCAGACCAGATTCTCTAACAGAAAGATCCAGCCAGTGTCAGAAAGTTCTAGACTCATCTGTTCGCTCTCCCGAGGCTCTGTCTGGTTCTCCCTGGGGCGGAAGCTTGAGCCCTGTTAGGACAAGAGGGAGAAATTGAAGAGTCCAGGGTAACCTCGAGTGCACACTTCAGTTTATTGTTGAAAGTTGCCATCAAGACCCCAGGTTCAACAGAAAACAGCATTGTCTGGCCCTGAACCATTGTCACCATTGGTGGTCTGCTCAAGTCCACAGGTGCGGCTATTGTGTCCTTTGAGTCCAACCTAAGGGGCTCAGACAATACTCTATTATGATCCTTAGCATTTTCCTTGGCTGATTTTCAGAAGTTGACTTCCAGGCCTTTCTTCCTAGTCTCTCTTAATCTGGATGTTCTCGGTGCTCTTGCTAGTATCTGAAATGCCAGTGGCATAGCTTCCAGCATCACCACCACACTCAAGCCGCCACAGTACGACAAACTGACAGAGACTTAGTGGATCCATGAAGGCAGCTCTTATTGCCCATGATATGAGGACAGTTTTCAAAACAGATACAGAATATCTGCTTCTTGGTCTGCTTCCCCACGCAAGTCTGGGTTCTGATGGCTTAGTTTACTGACATATTTGCAGCGCCTGACATTATCGTGTTTGTTGATGGAAGGACTGAAGTACGTAAAAGCCACAGCATCCGGCAGTTGCCACAATACCACTCATGAAACGTGAAAGTGATCAGAAGAACGTGCCACCGAGAGAGGGAGAGAGAGAGAGAAAGGGGGCTTGCTTGGTTGTACTGCTGTTGTCTTTGGAACTGCCAACTAAAGGGGGCTTCAACAACACCCATGTTCAAATCCAACGCACTGCGTCCTAATCGGTTCCCACTCATAGCGACCCCTTAGGACAGGATAGAACTGCACCTTAGGGTTTCCAGACAGCCTCATCTTTCTCCCATGGAGTTTGAACCACCAACCTTGCAGTTAGCTGCCCAACGCTTAACTCATGGCACCCCTAGGGCTCCTTTGAACAACACGGATGTGTTTTTATCTCACTCATCCGGTAAGCAACAGTGATCTCAAGCGTAGCAGAAACCGTGAGGATGGCGCAGGACCGGGCAGTGTTTTGTTCTGCTGTACATAGGATCGCTATGGGTCAGAACCGACTCCACTGCACCTAACAACAACAACAACATCTGCTCTCGTAGTGGTGGTTGGGGGTTGTGCTTCTGAGAGGCTGGAATTTCCTTGGATGCCTTTTGCTCAGAACATCAGCAATCCTGTGTCCCAAATTCCCAACCGATAAGAATTTCTGAGATCCGAGAATAAGGAATTCCTCAACCGTAAATTAATTCTGTATTTTTCACAGTGCAGTGCTTTCATGCTTTTCAACAGTAACGAGTGACGGTAACAGCGGGCAGAGTCAATGGTGGGGAAACAAACGGGGGCAGAGATTTCTGAAGGTGGACCCCAAGAGAAGAACGTAGCCAAAGTCATTGAATCGCACATGCTGACATTGATGAATGGTGTGTGTTCTACTGTGTCTATCTTCACCACAAATTTAAAATTTTATGCTAAAAGTTGGTACCATACAAAAAAATAAATCAGAAAGGCATCATTTATGGTGTTTGTAAACCAACACACTGTGCTGTTACCGCCGTTACAGTTGTTAGCTGCCGATCGTAACTCACGCTAACTCTGTGAGCACACAGTAGACACGCCCCACGGGGGTCACAAGGCTGTGGGCGATCTCTTGGAAGCAGACCGCCAGATCTCTGGGTCAGTTCAAATTGTCAACCTTCTTTTTAGGGGAGTAGGGTTAAAATACATGTTTTATTTGTATGTTTTTATTATTATTATTGTGGTATATAATAATAACAAGACATCTGACATTTCAACAATTGTCACATGGATGGCTTAGTGACATTAGATTGTCAACCTTTGGGCTAATAGTTGAACACTGAACTGTTTTCGCTACCCATCTGCCCCTTTAATATCATGGGTTGTTGCTGTTGATAAGGGCTGTTGAGTCGGGTCCAACTCACAGTGACCTTGAATAGAGTTTCCGAGGCTGTAAATCTTTATGAGAAACAGAAAGTCACATCTTTCTCCCGTGGAGCTGCCGGTGGGCTCAAACCACACACCTGGTGGTTTGCAGTCCAGTATTTTAATAACATGTAAAACTGATTTTTACCTGATACAGACATTTGACAACAGTAAACATTAAAAGATGGAAGCCTTAACATAAGATAAACACCAAATTAAAATCATTAAGATTTTAAAACTAATTTCACAAACATTTAATACTTAAAAGATCTGATAGTCTTGATCTTTATGACAAACATCCAGATGTAGAAAACTTTCTTTCTCTTGGTGCTGATGTTGGCCAAATTTTTAGGAACATCTCCAAAAGCATCTCCAAGCTGCACAACAGGGAGGGAGCAGGTTGGTTTTTTAACGGTTCGACTATCTTACCTGCTTCACACACAAAATTGTAGTCTATGGACAACTGTGCTGCAAAAGATCTCTCGAAAGTGTTCAAAAGCAAAGATGTCACTTTGAGGACTAAGGTGCGCCTGACTCAAGCCATCATAAGTAGGCAAAAGCTGGGCAAGAAGAATCCACACATTTGAATTATGGTGTTGGAGAAGAATATCGCCAGCGGAACAAACAAATCTTTATTGGAAGAAGTACAGCCAGAGTGCTCCTAAGAAGTCAGGATGGAGGACCTTAGTCTCGTGTACTTAGGACATGTTATCAGGAAGGACCTGTCTGTGGAGAAGGATGTCATATTTAGTAGAGGGGTCAGCGAAAAAGAGGAAGATCCCCAGCAAGATGAAATGCCACAGTGTCTGTAACCATGGGTTCAAACCCCGCAATGCAGTATTTCGTTCTGTTTCCCAGGGGGTTGCTATGAGTTGGAACCAACTCAACAACACCTAACAACAGTGGCTCTTTAACTACTGGAAAGCAAATATTATTGGATGGTATTCAAATTACATAGTGTTCTAATCTCTTAGCAAAGCTAACAATACTACACAGTGCTGTTGAAACTGCCAGCTCAAAGACTTCCTTTGCTTATTTCTTGGAACAACACTCAAGAGGATCTGTGTAAAGTATGCAGAGTGTATAAATTCATTCACAGTTACTTTATCTCCAAGAATGACTCACTGCTGGTAGAGGCAGGGCCAATAGTGTGTGCTTAGGATGTGCTACAAGGACCAGCAAGACCGGCTGGTTCTCTCCCACCGCTGCCACCTCAGCTCCTAGAAACGTCCACCTCAACCTTCAGCTCCACGATGTTTGCCGCCCTTGCTTTTGACTGTGGACTTCCTCACCCATTAACATTTGTTCCTCACCCATTAACATTTGTTGGTGGCGTTTACATAGCAAACGACATTGGTCATACTTTACCCCCTACCTGCCCCCCCACCCCGCCTTTTTTTTTTTTTTTCTATTTCTCAAAAGATTTTTCTTGCTCTTTGGAATTTGGTAAAACATAGGTGTCCTGGGAATGAATTCCTGCAGAAAAAGACCATGGGCAGCAAGTCTTCTCTTATGATTTCAAGATGGCATCCACAGCTGCCAGATCCCATGGCCTCGAGACCCAGGGCAGCGCTGTTGGGCTTTCTCCATGCTGCGCTTCTTTATCGGTGAGGAAAATCTCAGGAGGCCCTTCTGTATCTTTAGTTAGAAGAGGGCCCCAGGCCCATCCCTACCTCTTATGGGATCCTAGTGCCCGGTTTATGCCAGTCCTGATTTACACCAGGGGATGAACGGATCACCCCAAGTCAAAAGGAGCCAGTTAGTGATGGGGCAACAGTGGCTCCATGGTATAACTCTCTCCCTTCCATGCGGGAGACTCGGGTTCGATTCCCAGTTAATGCTCTTCAGGTGCAGCCACCAAGCATCTGTCCGAGGCGGCTTGCGTGCTGCCATGATGATGAACAAGTTTCAGTGGAACTTCCAGACTAAGATGGGTGAGGAAGCCAAACCTGGAGAGCTGCTTTCGAATGTCAGCCAGTGGGATCCTATAAGGCTCCTAATGGTTGCATCTGCCAAGTGGTAATAACTAAAACCCAGATGCACTGGCATCATTGCTGATGCCAAGTACAACTGCTCCCTAGCGTTTCTAAGACTGTAAATCTTTACGGGGGCTGACAGGCTTGTCTGTCCCCCATGGAGTGGCTGGTGGGCTTGACCTTACAGTTAGCAACGCAATACCCACTACACTACCAGGGCTTTTGCAAGTGGTAATAGCTATTGCTTTATATATATAGTGCTTCCCAACTGACTTAACCCAATGGAGGTCCAGAGAGGTCAAGCAACTTACCCAAGAGCACACAGTCACGGTAAGACGCAGGAAAGCCAAGATTGAAACCAGGCCTGCTTGGTGTCAGAGTCCACATTTATAACCAGTGAGTGAAAATGTCGTCTTTTCAAAAAAAACAACACACACATACACACATACACAAAAACTTTTGTGAATTGAATGAAGACTTATAGACAAATGAACAGGTTGACATTCAACAAACCAACAAACTATATGAATCACTTCATTCTAATGCTTGCAATACCGTGCATGTAACAGTACGCATCGCACTTCCTCCCGGTGGGTCTCGTCGCCATCTGTCCTTCTTTGCCCCCACCCCTCTGAACTTTGTCCTTGGGTAATTGCTGTCCTTTTGATGTCCAATGGTTGACCATTCTGCAGTATGTGTACCTCACTAGTGTTGTGGTCCCCCTACCTAGCTAGCTATTGCTTAGCTGATCATTGAAGCACAGGGTGAATCCAGTTCCAGACCTGAAAGCTGACCAATCCCATAGTCTCCGGGTTGTACCCTGTTCTATCTGACCAGTAAGTCTGGTTGAAAATACCTTTCAAAGAGGGACTCACGATGGGGCAGGGAGCCAGCTGGAAGGGCTCCAGCAGTTACCTCCACATCACCTCTCACGGGGAGGGGATAGTGGTGTGAGTATAATTATCCCATTTGCCAGATGATGCGATTGAGGCTTAGTACTGAAGACGTACCTTGCCCGAGGCCACAGGAAGGTAACCGTGAGAGCTGAGAGTGTGGTCAACCTCTGCCCGGCTCTCAGCCCTACAATGTTAAGTGCCATCGAGTTGGTTCTGACTCACAGTCATCCTTTATTGGGTTTCCAAGGAGCGGCTGGTGAATTTGGCTGGCCAACCTTGCGGTTTAAAGCAACCTGCGGTCCGGTGTCAGGATGCCGAGAGCAGTCACATCGGGACCTACTACAATAGGTGAAGTGAGGTACAACAAGCTTAGGACTTGGTTTTAAGATGTAATTAAGCAGATGAAAGAGACAAAAGACTTCGTGTCTCTGCAGGATGTCTCTTTAGGCCTGCCATTGTGCTTGGGCGTGGGGAGTTTCAGACAAGATGGTAGAGAGGCAGGTCCATAAGCCCTCAGTGGGTACCAGTGAGCACCTGGCTGGGACCATCACTGACCCAAGGGAGTCCCTGAGTGGGGCCAACTGTGAGCCCACTTGGCTGCTAACTGGAGGGCTGGAGGTGTGAGTCCACACTGAGGCATCTCAGAAGGCCTGGCAACCAATTTCCAAAAACCAGGTCACTGAAAACCCTCAGTTCTATCCTGACACACATGGGGTTGCCATGAGTTGGGTTGATTCTACAGCAAGTGTTTCTTTGGGTGGGGCGGGGAAGCTGGAGACATGTTAGATGTAGACACTGTGGAATCTGTCTGTACTTCAAGGTTATCATCCGTGAAAGGATGTAAGATGCACATGTGTGAGTTTCATCTCAGCTCACCTACAGGTGGTAAAGGAGCCAGGGCTCCTTGATGCATTATGGGAAATCCAAAAAGTTTTCACAGCGATAGTTGATGTGGCCAAATGGATGAGGTCCAGGTGTCACCCCTCTGCAGGGAACAGCCCATGCTGGGGATTGTTATCACCTGGGTTGCACTGGAGACCCACTGATCAAATGCTTGGTGGTGGAGCAGGTTGGAACTCACAGTGAAGCTGTCTAGAACTGCCACATATGGTGTTCAAAGCTGTAAATCTTTATGGGAACCGAAAGCCTCAGCTTTCTACCCGAGAGGCTGGTAGATTCAAACTGCTGACCTTGCACTTTGTAGCCTAACTCCTAACCCACTTCACTAGCAAGGTTCCTTGACGGAACACTTATTCCTTGATTAGCTCTTAGAGTGGCCACTCCTTGGTCACTGTAACACAGTGATCGGCCTTAGCTCGGGCCCCAAGCCAGCCAGGTTCCTGTGGGCAGATCACTTGGCACCCTGAGTGACCTTGTCCTCATCCCCAAGCCCACCCTCCCCCTACTGAGTTCTTCAGCCCACAGCTTCCCCAATTGCGTTGCTCTGACTCTCATCTATTGCTTTAAATGTTCCACATAGTCTAGGGACATACTCTTGATATCCGGGTCCTTCCAACCATTACCTTATCCCTATTGCCACATACCCACTGCCCTCTAGTCCACAGTGACCCTATAGGACAAAGTTGAACTGCCCCATAGGGTCTCCAGATTTTCATTTTTACACAAGCAGACTGCCACATCTTCCTCCCTAGGAGGGACTGGTGGGTTCAAACCACTAAATGTTCAGTTCGCAGATCAGTGCTTTAACCACAGCACTCCCAGGGCTCATTTTGTCTATCTTATTAGATGTCACCGAGTTGCTTCTGACTCACAGTGAAGTGACCCTATGCACAACAGAAGAAAACACTGCCCGGTCCTGATCATCCTCACACTTGTTCTGTTTGAGCCCAATGCTACTGCCTCTGGGTCAATCCGTCTCATTGAGGGTCTTCTCTTCTTCGCTAACTCTGATTTGCTGAGCATGCTGTCCTTCTCCAGGGACTGGTCCCTCCAAAGTACATGAAATCTTGCCATCCTAGCTTCTAAGTAGCATTCAGGCTGTACGTCTTCTGGGGCAGAGGTGTTCTTTCTCCAGACTGATTCAAATGGGTTCCAACCCATAGCAACCCTGCAAAAGGTTTCTGAGGAGCAGATGGTGAACCTGAACCACCGATCTTGTACTTCAAACTGACTTTGTAGTCTAGCGCATTAACCCACAGCAGGAGCTTGGAAATGTTTGCAGAAAGGCAAAAAATAACCACCCCAGATGGAATGTCTCCCCAGGCAGGCTCCCAACTAGTCGCTTTACCCATGTTCTCTGAACCCCCTTGCAGGTGTAATTATGCACCGTCAAGTCGTCGAGTTGGTACCAACTCTTATGTACAACAGAACGAAACACTGCCCAGTCCTGCGCCAACATTACAATCGTTGCTATGAACCTATCACTGGGCCAATCCATCTCGTTGGGGTCTTCCTCTTTTTCGCTGACCCTCCACTTTACCATGCTTGATGTCCTTCTCCAGGGACTGGTACCTCCTGACAATAGGTCCAAAGTATGAGAGACGAAGTCTGGCCATCCTGGCTTCTAAGGTACATTTTGGTTATACTTCTTCCAAAACTGATTTGTTTGTTCTTCTGGCAGTCCATGTTATTTTGAAAATTGTCCTGCAACACTATAGCTCAAATGCATCGGTTCTTCTATGGCCTTCTTTATCCACCGTGCAACTTTCATATGCATATCAGGTTATTGAAGTTACTATGGTTTCAGTCCTCCAACTGACACCTTGGCTCTTGGACACTTTAAAGAGGTCATGTGCAGCAGATTTGCCTAGTGCAATAGGTCGTTTGGTTTCTTGATTTTACTTCCCTGGGCGTTGATGGTTGATACAGCAAAATGAAATCTTTGACAATCGCGGACTTTTCTCCATGTACCATAATGTTATTTATCGATCCAATGGTGAGGATTTTTGAGGTGCAACCCATATCAAAAGCTGTGGTCTTTGATGTTCCTCAGTATTTTAAGTAAAGTATCATATTCGTATCGCAGGTAGTTAGTCGTCCTCCAATCCTGATGCCACACTCTTCTTCAGATATGTCCTGCAGGTAGCTCAGTACACTTCCCATTGTACAGGAAAGGTACAAGGGGCTTCCCTACTGCCCAGGTCCGCTCAGGGGAGGACCCACGTGCCCGGCTCCCGCTTGCACAGGTGCGACAGGTGAGGCTGCGGGACGTCTGCGGGGGTCTCGGGGCCCCGCTGACGTTAAGTAACGGCCTCGTGTGCACGAGCGGGGAGCCGCCAGTTGCTCGGCGGCCGAGAGCCCACCTGGGCGGGCGGGGGGTGGGGTGGGGCGTTTGTCACGTAGCCAATAGGCGCTCGGGAGGCGCGGCCGGCTCGGCCCGAGGAGGCAGCGCTTGCGCACTGGGCACCCTTCCCGCGGGTCGGGTCGGCTGGCGCGCCGGGCTCTGACGCTCTCGCGACGCGCCGGACGTCGGGCACGTTGACGCCGGTGACGCGCAGGCTGGACCCGCTCCTCCTCCGCTCGGCAGTGTCCGGCCGAGGGCCGGCCTTGGTGACTGGGGGCGGCGGGCCCGGGAGCGGGCAGGCGGCCTTCGTCGTCCCCGAGCGCGCCGGAGCGAACAGCCGGCTAGACCCCCGCTCCGCCGGCGAGCAAGGTGAGTGCGCACGGGGAGACTGAGGCGGCGGGACGGGGGCGCGGGCCAGGGTCCCCGTTGGGGCGCTGCTCGGCCGTCTCCTGTCACTCGGGGGGCGCGGGGGCCGGAGCCGAAGCCCGGGTGGGAGGGGAGCCGGCGCTGGAGAGGGGGACGCGGACCTGTGGCGCCTGCACCCCGAGCCGGGACAGCCGGGACCGGACCCCCGCCGCAAAGGGCGCTCGGCAGCCGGGCTCCGAGAGGATGCCGGGCGGTGGGCTCGGGGGCCTGACCCCGCCGGGGCTCCCCTTATGCTAGGTCGGCGGGCCCGGGCCTTGGGGAGTGAGACATTTAATAGCCTCCCATCGGCTCACCTTTCCCTCCTCCTTCCCGACCGGCGCCGTCAGTGCTGGAGTGTGTCTGTGTGTGTGTCTGTCTGTCTGTCTGTGTGCCGTGAACTTACGTAAGTTCGGTTGACCAACCATTGCTGCCGCTGAAAACCACCTTTCCCAGCCCAGACCCAATCCAGCGCCTTTGACCCGTCTCCAAATCCAAGAATTCCCAGCTGACTGCACACATTCCTCTAAGATGCCTGGTGGCTTTTGCTCTGGGCTGTGTGTGCTTTCTGTGTTTTCCCGGAAAAAAAGAAAACTAGAGAGAAATGATTGAATGGCAGGAGTTCTGACTTTCTGTCCTCCACCAGGAAATAAAACCAAACAGGTTACAGAAGCTCACTTGTTTTTAACAACCACAACAAAATTCCCACAGGGTTTGTTCTTGAGAGCCGGCTGCCCTCCTTAGCCCTGGACGCCGGTGTCTGTACCTGGTGATTCGATTTGCGCCCTGGGGTGCTGAGTGTACCTTCCCAGCCGGCTTATGTACAGAGCCCCAGGTCTCAGATGAGTGAGATGCCCAGTTTCTTCAGTTTGCTTTAAAACAACAACAACAACAAACCAGCAACAGAAACAACCTGTTGCCTTCCAGTTCCAACTCCTGGAGACTTTGTGTATGGCAGAGTAGATGTCTGTCTGTCACTTTGGGAGCAGATTGCCAAGCCTTCCTGCCCCAGAGCACGGGGTGGTTTTGAGCAGCTAGCCTTTAGGTTAGCGACCAATCTTAGACTGTTTCCTGGGCCCACGCTCCTCCTTCTTAGCCATGGAAGCCCACCAAATGCAATGCCTTTGAGTCCATCCCAAACTACAGATACTGACATTTGTTCTGCACGTGTGTGTGTCTCTTTGGTTTCCAGATGATGTGCGAGGTGATGCCCACCATCAGCGAAGCGGAAGGCCCCCCAGGAGGCGGCGGGAGTCATGGGTCTGGCTCCCCGTCCCAGCCCGACGCGGACTCCCATTTTGAGCAGTTAATGGTGTCCATGCTGGAGGAAAGAGACCGGCTTCTAGACACTCTCAGAGAGACTCAGGAAACCTTGGCGCTCACCCAGGGAAAGCTGCATGAAGTGGGCCATGAGCGCGACGCCCTTCAAAGGCAGCTCAACAGTGCCCTGCCCCAGGTAGGCTACTGCCCGCTCTCTTCTCCTGGTGCTCTCAGCGTCGTTCCGTACCAGCAGTCACAGAACGCTGTTTTCTGGTGAACGCAAGTCACATCCGGAGAGAGTTGTGGGGATTAAGTGTCTCAGGGAAAACATTGTGTTGTAGTACAGTTGTTGTTGGGTGCCGTCGAGTGCGTTCTGACTCACAGCGACCCCATTACACCCAAATGCAGCCCTGCTCGGCCCTGCGCCGTCCTCCCACCTGTTGCTGTGTTGGGACCCATTCATGGAGCCGCTGTCTCAGTCCATCTTGTTGAGGGTCTTCCTCTTTGTCCATGACTCTCTACTTTTCTAAGCACAATGTTCTTCTCCAGGGACTGGTCCCTAGTAATTACGTTCCTGCAGGATGTAACACGAAGTCTGGCCATCCTGGCTTCTAAAGAACGTTCTGCCTGTCCTGCTTCCTACACACGTTGGTTTGTTGTTTGGGCAATCCATTGTTCTTTCCGTATGCGTCGCCAACACCATCATTCAGAGGCATTGAGTCTTCTTTGGGCTTCGTCCGGCGTCATATCTTCCAGAGCCCTGTGAAAATGCCTCCTAACTCTCACTGCTCTCATGGAATGGCAGAAGGGCTGCGCAGGTGGAGAAGTGTGCTGGCGTTTCTGAGAAGGCCATGAAGCAGGCAGGCTATGTGGGGCTGCCCCTGAACTGACTGGCTCAGGCGACGTATTTTTTTTTTTTACGTTTTTTTATTGTGCATTATGTGGGTTTACATCTGGAAGAATGTCAGTTTTACATTCATCCTATTGTATTTCGTTTCATTGCAATGATTACAGTCCCCTCCATGCATCATCAAACAACCAAAGGGTACACCCCACAGGCCTGCCCCCCGCCCCCCCCTGGCGTCAGCACACAGCCCCTGTCCCTCCCTGAGTCCAGTGTCCCAGCCACTCCATCTCTCCACGTCATTGTCTCCACCTCCATTTCCGGCGTCACTGCTTCTCTGGGTAGGGTCCCACACTCCACTCTTCTCACTTGATGATCCCAGGGACCTCTGCTCCTGGACTGCAAAATCAATCACTCCCCTCCTTTTGTTACAAAATATCTACCTTTACATTTCCAGCCCTCACAGTCAGTCCAGATGGCTGTTCACTATTGTAGTGAACTATGGCTTATTCACTATTGTAGAGCAAGAGTTTTATCCCCATCTCCTTTCATCAGCCCCGCCCAGACAGATGGGAAACCACTCAGTGGAGAGTCTACCTTCCCCCACCCCGTGTGGAACTAGGCTCCCTCTTGAAAGCTTGTAAGCCAGTCACTTCATGCCTTTATAGTCACCTCATTTTAGGTAGCCAATGTCTAAGTTGCCCATCCCTGTCAACCCTGTGTACTGAGGGGGTAGGAGTGATCCTTGTTGTAAAGATTTGTTTCTTTTTGAGCTATTACAGCCATAACTATAGGTCAAGTTCATCAAATTGTAGCAGGTGACGTTTTTTTTTTTTTTCCTCTTTTTTCTTTCTCTCGTCAAGTTCTGATTATCCAGCCATTGAAGCCAGGTCAAGTGGGTACTATCTGCAGGAGTGGGTGTTCTTGTGCATCTCCCCTCACTTCATATCAGCTGGACACTTCATCCTCCGCTCTAGTCCTCTGTGGCCATGTCACTGCCTCTGGGCCCAGGAGTCCCTGGGTCTTACTGTAACTGCTGGCCATCCAGGTCTCCACCTGGGTTCACAGGGGGGTCTATTGAATGTGGTTGGACATAGCTCCCAACTTCATTGTTGTTTTTCCCCCTCTTCCCCTTGACAGTGCCCAACGTGGTCACCAGCTAGACCACATGCCTGTTCGTGTATTCCCCTTGAGTCTCAGTCTTGGAAGGGGGTTTGCTCTGAGGGGACCTGACCACTTGTCAGGCGACTTCTTGCTGAGAGTGTGTTTCCCATGCATTCTAACTCATGCATTTGTAATACAAATGAGATGACAAACAGGGTGGATTTCGCACAAACTGGATGGTTTTCTGACAGGCCCCAGTGTTCTAGATTAGGCTTGTCTTGGAGGTCAGAAGTCTGCACCTGGACCCATCTTCAGGAAGTTTTGTTTGTCATCTGAGAATGGCCACACTTGAAATCACATAAAAGTTGCAGCTCTCCGCCTACGCCATATGGGCCCGTGTTGCCAGGTCTTTTGTGAGGGTGTATGAGCAGGTGAGAGGAGAAAATGGTCAGACCAGAAGAGTGTGCAGTGGCTGGTAGTTGGTGTGTAGGTGACTGAGTTGTCCATGTGATGTCTGGGTACTGATTATCTATAGATCCTATGCCTTTGTGGACCCCAGTAAGCAGACATTTAAACCTCGTGTTGGGTCTGCAGTGATGAATTAGGAAATTAATAATTACTACCCTAAATGCATTTCTTGGCTTCAGTTGATTCTCTTGAAATATTGATAAGCCAGACATTTGGATTTCCTCTTTAGCAGCAATAGTTCGATATGCGTATTCTTTATGAGGGGGCTTCAGAAACTTCGTGAGGAAATCCCATTATCTGTGCATTCTATTTTCCATGGATTTTTTTTTTTAAGCCCCCTCCACTCCTCATCGTATTACCTTTTGGCTGGATTGTTGTTGTTGGTGTTAAGTGCCATTTGAGTCGGTTCTGACTCGTAGTGACCCTGTATAGGGTTTCTGAGGAACGGCTGGTGAGTTTGAACTGCTGACCTTACGGTTCAAACCAGACTTGTGTTCCCATACTTACCCTACAGCACCACACCAGTTAGTTCTTTTATTGGAATCGTTTGGTTAGGTCAGATTTCACTTGTCCTAACTTGAAGGGATTGGCCAAACCATGCTGTTTGCCTGGAAGGTTTTTTGTACGTCTTTGCTGAAGGATGGTTTTGCCTTGCTTGTGGTAATGTTCGATTTCATGCCGTTTGGGCTACATAAGGTGCAGTGTGTGTGAAAGCTCTGTCTCTTAGATATGAGGCGGGTTTTCTCAATGATGGGCACCAGGGTCCTCCTCGGGTGTGTCGGCTTTTGCTCTTGCGTGATGAGGCTGTTGCTCAGTGGTTTGTTTCTACTGCTCGGAGCTGTGACCCCAAGATGCTGAGTGAAGTGTCAGCTGAGGTGGCGTCACAGTGGGTGCTAAGTAAGCTTGGCTTCCCCCTCTTATCTCAGGAAATTTGCCTCCTCGGTGGTGGTGCCTGAGGAGAGAACGTGAACCTGTCCTCGTGGCACACAGTCCACACAAGTAACAGGACGTGTTTCCAAAGTGGAGCTAGAAGGCAGAGTACATCTCCAGAAAATAAGGCCCCCATGTCAGCTTGGTGATGTTTTCCCACAAAGTTAACACCCCCACGTGCCCACCACCTGGTTCAAGAATTAGAAGATGACCAGCTTCCCAGAAACCCCTCCTGCCCCTCCCAATGGTTCTCCAGAGGTTGTGCCATCCTTGTCTCCGTGTGGACGGTATCAACACCTGTGTTCTCCCGTCCATCCGTGTTCATTCATGATGCTTGTGAGATCCACCCCGGCTGCCGCAGGTTCCTGGCTTTGTTGGCCCTCTCTTGCTGTCTCTTATCCAGTGTCTGAATAGACCGGGATGCACTGTTTCTGCTGGCCACAGACAGCTTTGATAAATGGTGCTCTGAATGGTCTCGATTTGTTTGCTCTTTGTTGGGTGTCGATGTTTACAGATGCCTGTAGGCTGTATGCAGAGGACTAGGAAGCGGGTTCATCTAACCGAGGCAGACACTGCCAGCAGTGCTGGTCGTACCTGTTTGCACCTCTGCCTTGCAGTGCTCTCAAACACTTGGTTACTTACGATCGTAATGTGTTTAGGTGCCTTCAAGTCAGGTCCGCCTCATAGCCACCCTGTGACCTCCTGCTCATGTGACCTCCTCAGAGTTGTTGTTACACTTCAGCGCATTGCTGCTGCCACTGTGCCAGTCCATCTCGTTGAGGTGGGTCTTCCTGGTTTTTGCTGACCTTCTATGTTGTTGTTAGGTGCCATCAAGTTGGCACCGACCCATAGCGACCCCCATGCACAGCAGAACGAAACAATGTCTGATCCTGGGCCAACCTCACTACTGCTGCCACACTTGAGTCCATCGATGCTGCCACCTGGCTGATCCATCTTTTTAGGGGTCTTCCTCTTTTTCTCTGACCCTCCATCTTACCCAGCATGACATCCTTCTCTAGTGACTCTCCACGTTACCAAGCATGATGTCCTCCAGGGACTGGTCCCTCCTAACGACATGTCCAAAGTCTTACCAGCCTTGATTCTCAGGAGCAGCTGGGTATAAACTGGGCCGTTCTGCATGTCCGAAGTACGAGAGACGAAACCCTGCCATACTCCCTTCTCAGGAGCGTTCTTAACACTGGTAACTGTCATGAGCAGTGAGCGGCAGGTCGCTGTAAAATCTGAGTTGGGTCAGATCTCTAATGGCCCGGGGAGGACGAGACTCAGCTGTCAGCGTCAGCAGCCCACGGCTAATTCCTGTGAGTGAGGTGGAGACCAGACATGCCTCCTTTCTCCAGCCTTTGTACCCATGCTGACACCAGCCATCCGTCCCACATCTGTCCCACGGCACTCGGCCTCGGCCCTGCCTGGCTATAGCTCTGTAGTTCACCTGCTGGAAACCGCTGGCCTGAAGGCACTCCACTCTGTTGCTTTGGGGGTCTGTGAAACCCTGCCGCTGCCCCCAGTGTCAGGATGCTCGGTCTCCTGGGTCTAGGAGGTTCTCAGTTCAGGGACGCTGGGCCCCATGGACACAAACTCTACTCCTGACTTCTTGATGGTAATGAGAACCTCACTCAGGGTATGGAGTCGGCTCTTTTAAGTGTGTGGTTGAGTGCTGTTGAGTTGGTTTCACCTCATAGCTATCCTGTATAGGGTTCTGAGCGGTGGCTGGTGAATTTCAACCACCAACCTTATAATTAGAAAACCAGTGCTTGCTCTTCAGCAGCGGGACTAGTGGGATGGAAAAGAGGACTTATCCCCTTGGTGGGCATAGTCCCACACAATCATTC